GACTCAATGATAAATTGTATTTGCTGGAAAGATCATTGTATCGACCATAGAACTTACAAAATGTTGACTTTAAATATATATACAATTTGTAAGCTGATGAGGGTATATTGCTGCATGAGTAAGAAAAGTTGACGATAGAAAAAATAAAGTCATCACGTTTATCATATAGCTTGGTTGTTATATTACAATTAACGTCTTTTCAAGTAAAATATCCAAGTATGAAACAGATGTGTCAGCTTTTGTGGCATTTTTTATCTTAAGATCACCAGGATATATCGCATGGACGTAGGAGTGAAAATTACCATTTTTAATTGAACATACGTTGCTAACAATGGAGAGCAGTTGGTTCCAACTGGAATTCAAATAGATTGTTGGAATACCTGGTTTACAAAAAACACATTGATATTGTCAATCAGAAACTCAAGCATCTCTTTGATGTCAACTTCAAATAACTTTTGTGTGTAATCAGATTGTGTTTTAACAAAATAAGTTTGCAAATGACCAATGATCAGGTAAGTAAATATACGTATTCCAGTTTTATTGAAAAGCAGCTGTCAATAATATGAAAAACCCCAGACTTTAATTTATCGTGGGGAATGGTTGTGTATAAAGTTGAAATGTGATTTTTAAGCTGTTAATTTTGGTAAAATCTTGTGATTCCAAATTGTCAAAAGCTCTCTGGATGTTTTTGGTATTCACAACTGATGCTCACCACTTCTTGAATATATTGTTGCAAAGTACTCAGGAAGTTTATCCTTCACTACTGTCAATATCTTAGTGAGGGGTAACGAAAGAGGACTGGTCAAACATTTACTGGAACAATCATTTCCGATAAACCTGGTGATCACAACTTTTCTTACTTCAGTTTCAATTATTAACGTAACAATTTACTTCAGTGAACTGCATATGAAAATTTATTTAATTTAGACGATTCGATGAACAAACAAAAGCATGCTCCACTAAAACGAGTGAAATCACAAACAGGTTAATATCCACATTTTCATTTAAGGCCAATATTTTGCAAATTCTTTGGTATAAACTATTAAAAAATTCCATCAGGATTTGGTGGAGAGAAGTTTAAAAACTTTGCCCGTTTATGATAACTAACACAGGATACCCAGTGTTAGACATGAAGAACAATGTTCAAGCAAAAAAATCAATTCAGAAAATGCAAATGATGAAGAAATCAAAAATACAGTTAGAGACGAGCTTAATTTTAGAGTCAAAGTATTGTTACGTCTTCGTAAATGCTCCAGTTGTCCTCAGTTATCGTCTCTCTGTCTTTAATCATTTTGTCTTCTTTTGAATTTGCCACAGAAGAATCTTTATTCAGAATGCTTCCTCTTCCTAGAAAACTCGGAACTGTATACATTTCTATCGATTCAGCGATTCAGCGATATTTTCGACTTGATATAAATGTTTTCTTGAATATAATTCTCTCTCTTTTATCTCTCTGTTTTTATTGATAACTGAATAAGAATTTTCGGTCGACAAAGTCAAATCTGTATAATATTCTGACTGGACAGCCATTAGAGCGTTCAGGTCTTCGTATTCAATTAACTCTGGTGAAGCTTCTTTCTTTCCTGAAACAAGAGATAAAATAATACGTTTTCTTGCTTAATTACATGTAATATAATCCAAGTTTCTTGCAAATAAAATGACATACAATGTTTATAAAATACTTGCCCCCAAAATCTACCACGAAATCGGTTTTTGTATTGTCTTCATTTCTTTGGTCCTCATCGCCTACCTTAGAAATATCACCACTGTTGTTGTAGGCAGAATTCATTTCACCCGTAGCCTCTCTTTTCTTTTGTATTTTACAGAACAGTATTTATCGTGGGGAATAGTTGTATATAAAGTTGAAAATTCATTAGTTTTTAAGCTGTTGATTTTTCTAAAAATCTTTTGATTTCAAATTGTTCAAAAGTCATATTGTTAAAAAGATTAAATTCCACCAATTCCGTGATGTAAGCTGTCGAACATCTCATCGAACGGTCCAACATCTCACTCAGCGGTCAAACATTGATTCTATATGCACACTCAGCAAAACATAATTTTTTTTTTACTTTTTTCACATAGGAACAAATTTATTTAGTTATAATCAAACAAAATATCAAATTTTTAATTTAATACCTTCAGCAGTAGAGATATGGGAACTGTTACCATAGCAACCATCTTTTACGTCACACAAACTAGCGGGACAGTCACATTGTTCTATACAAAACCTTCCATAGTAACCCTTTATACATTTTTCACTACAGTTTAAACCATGGGTTCCAACAGGGCACTCTGTAGAAAGGTTAATATTCATCCACTAAAATTTACATTTTTTTTCACATCTATCGTAAGGTATATATATTGAGATATTCATTTCAACACAAAAACCATTTATTTCACTTTAATGCATGAAAAACTGGATAAAGAATAACTAATACCTCTGCATATATTTCCCTCCCTGTAGAAATTATAACAGCACCTGTCAGGACTGGAATGATGCAAATAAAGAAAAAAAAATTATATGAATAAGCCTATAAAAACAACATTATTGATTTCATTATATGAAAGTATATAAAATAATGTAAATAAATGATGGAACATTATAAAAATTCTATCTCTATCATCACCTTAAAACCATTACAAGGTAACGATAAAAGACTGTTAGTTATTTTAACAGCAACAAACAATAATATTATTTTTTTTGTGTTCGGATGATATAAAATGATTGAAAATGCTGATACAGAAATACCGTTCAAATTATACTGTATCCGTATGACTTCTAAAATAATAATTATCTTAATGCTATCAGAAAATGCTACAGAATCTAAATAACATTAACTTTTCTCCACAGACCTTTTTTCACAAGCATTGCTGATTTGGATTATCCCCATTAGTATCCATAAAACACTTTGTAGAAAAAACATTATCACCTAGTTTGTCAATTTGTCTCTTCTCGGGCACCAATTTTATCATTTTTTTTTCTGAATTTATGATGATTTCCTCAGATAATTCAGTTCAAGGAAACATTTGACCAATGAGCATTACACATAAAACTAAAAACTTTTTTTTTATTTCCTAACCAAGGAAATTTATCGCCAATAAAAAGATATAAATAAACATAAATTTTACAAACAAATGTACAACGACCTTACAATAGAGGCTTAAGATGAAGGTGATGACATGATTTTTTCAATCTATAACTTGCCTCAAACATGCACAATTTACCTTATCAATTGCATATTAAAAATATTTTAAACGAGATTAGTTAATGACAAAGAAGTTGTCGAATTATTAATTTTCTCGTTTAACGTTCATGCCTTCATTTCATAAGTTCTTTAGATATATATTATAAATATATTAATAATTTAAATAGATACAATAGCATTTAGATCAAATACAATCTACCACAAGTCAATTGCTGACTGACATCGTTCATTATATTTGTTAAGCTGTTATTTACACATTGAATTGGATTTTTCTTTATTACAAGAGCTTATAGCGGGTGGTGGTGCTCACTCATCAATGGCATCTGATCCCACTTTTGATCTTTTATAGATCTGTGTTTTCTCTGCTCTTGTTTTGCATCGTTTGAATGGACTTTTGAGCTTGAGCACTGTTAGTTATTTCAATTTATTTAACTTTGACATTTTTAGGATTTATGAGATAAAGGAATGTAAAAGATGAGAGATTGGTGTAAGAAAAACGCAATGACTGGTAGCTTCCAAAAGTAGAATAATATTTTCTTATATAACACTTTAGTTTCCGCTAAAGAATTATTTTCAAAAAAGATTTGCAGGAAAAAATTGTTAAAAAGGATAAGAAAATATATGTGTCATTTAACATCAATATGTATCATTAAATTCAAATACTGAACAGAGGTCGATCACGTACATTAAAAACTTCTGTTAAAAAAGTATAAAGACGGACAGTTGCCTCGGAGCAGGAAGCATTCTTTGTTGATTGGTCGAGATCACAACCAGCCCTATGTATTGATAATATTAAAATGACATAATTTTCATTGGAAAATCATAGATTTCAAATTATTTCTTAAGGATTTTTACTTCCTGGATGATCCACATATGATTTATAGTCTTTCCAGAATATGCTGTAACACAGTATGTATTTTGTGTTTCTTTAACATCATAAAGACAGTGTGAAATTGGTTGATTGTGTAATCAATATCCATAACTACGCTTATTTCTACGTCTTTTGCTCAGAGATCCATCGCATCAATGGTGAAACACTGTAGGCTTGAAAGATTACAAAAACTATTTATGTGGCCTTTGCAACCATATGTACTCAGCTAGTTTTCAGATACAGTATTCTTGTATACTGAATAGACGAGACACTACATTGTGTTTACTTTTTATAAAGTATAGCAAATACATTAATAAAATTTTCTGATATTTTTTCATTCTTTTTCTTTTTATGCATGAAAGGTTTTTTTTTTTAAATCTTAATGAAGAATAATCAATTCATACCAATTCATAAGTAATTCTATTGTAAATCAAATATAGTTCAACAAGTAAAACATTTACATACTTTAGGGTATGAGCTAGTAGACTTGTTTTTTCTGCAAACTTTTTCATTGAACAGTTAGAATTTCTAGACTTTTCGCCTAAACAAATACAAAAAAGTTCCAATCCTTTTACTCTTGAGTTGGCACAGAAGTTTGTACACTGCATATTAAACTTAGATGATAAAAAAAAGTATCATGGAAAGACAATTAAAATATCGAAGACAGATTTCTTTAGGAAAATTGATGCAAATAGTAATGAAAAAGACAACAAAGATCAGTTTTTTTCGATGTATAAATTTATCTGATTCTTGTTTCTATTTACAGATTTAAATAAAAAACAAATTGCTTCTATTAACAGCTTTTCTAAAATAAAATAAATTGTAAAAAATTCTCAATGTTTAACTACTAAGACATCAAAGAACAAACCAAGTTCATAAATAGCATGTTAAAACAAATGTCATAATAATTTTCGTTTTATGTAGTAACTATACAAACATTGGTTTTTAACTGTACAAGGTTAAAAGACGAGCTTAATTGTAGAGTCAAAAGATTGCTACGTCTTCGTAAAGGCTCCAATTTTCCTCAGTTATCGTCTCTCCTTCATTGAACATGTTGTCTTCTTTTGAATTTGTCGCAGAGGAATCTTCATTCAGAATGCTTTCTCTCCCAGAAAAATTCGGAACTGTATACATTTCTGTCGATTCAACAATATTTTCGGCTTCATATAAATGTCCATTTGAACAAAATTTTCTTTCTTTTATCTCTCTGTTTTTATTGATTTCTGAATAAGAATTTTCGTTCGGGAAAGTTAAATCTGTATAATGTTCTGGCTGGACCGCCATTAGAACGTTCAGGTCTTCGTATTCAAGAAACTCCGGGGAAGCATCTTCTTTTCCTGAACGCATACCTTCAATAATATAATGAATATATGTAACTTCCAAAACAAAAGATCAAAATAATATGTTTTATTGCTTAATTAATATAATCCATGTTTCTTGCAGATAAAGTGACATAGAGTGATGTACAAGTTTATGAAATACTCACCACCGAAATCTACCACAAAATCGGTTTTTGTATCCTCTTCTTTTCCTTGGTTCTCATCTCCTACCCTAGAGGTATCACCAATATTGTTGCAGACCGAATTCATCTCACCTGCAGCCTCTCTCACGTTGTTTTTTCTATTGTATTTAACGGAACTGTAGGGCCTAATCTTTATATTCACACCATTGTTCATTCGTGAGGATGTCAAGTTTGAGCCCCCTGAAGTTTCGCCTAATGTTTTAATCTTTATGAAGTTTTCATCGGACCAAGCATCTTGGTACTCGTTATCTAGATTTTCAGTTTTATTTTCAGTGATTTCAACCTTGTTTTCCTTGTAAGGTTCATCGTTAATATTTAGTCTGGTACCTATAAGATATAGAATAGCTTAGGAAACATTCTTAAGAAAAAATCTTTCTTAACAATTCGTTTTTGATACTATTATTGAAAAATAAAAGTTTAAAATACAACTGTAATGGGATACAAAGTAAAGGAAAAAATAATTTGATTTTACTTCAAATTTACTATACCATTACCAGGTGTTATATTTCTTAATTTTTCTTCGTGTATTGCCCTGTTTGCTACCAATAACCCCGTATAACTGTTGGTGGGGTTAACATTTTGAATGCTTTCATTATTTGTGTATCGCAAGGTAATGTTATTTCCAAGCGTATTTTCTACAATGAAAGTACATTTAAAAAAATATCATTATCATTGCTTTAAAAAAAAAATACAAATTTTCTGTCCTTTTAATGTTACGGTTTAATTATCAATTATTATAAACTATTAAACACAATACCTGATATACTTATGCGGCTGCCAACACCTCGGGCTTTCATTTTAATGAACCTTTTAATATACAAATAGACAAAAAAAATAACGACAATATTATGAATAAAACGATACAAATTGTCATTATTCTTTTTATGGTAAGTAGTTATGTAAACTATATGTCTATCTTACCATTTTTTAACAGCGTACATCATCATGATAGCAAAAATTGTTCCAATAGACCCCATTACTGTGAAGAGTGTGTTTTTCCAATATGAGGACGACATCATACCAGTCGGCAAAATTTTCTTGACTGATTTTGAAGTAGGGGAAGATGGAATAGACCAATCTGAATTAAAAAAACCAATATAAGATAATATATAGGATCACGAAAGATTTGTAGTTGGATATGATTTTATTTGTGTGTTTCTTATTACCAAGTCTTGTCGAGAGGATAAAAACATGCAACGAGTTGAATAAAAGTCATATCCAACTTCAAATAATGCGAATTTTTTTTTCGCATGTTCAATACTTTACAAGCAACGTTTTACAATTCTTATATATCAACACTTTATTTTACTTCATCACGTTAACGCAAAAACCATTGTGACGTCTAAACTGCACCTATCTGTGGATATAAAAAATATAATTACACACTTAGTAATAAATACAGGTTTTTTGCAAATGCGATATGGCTGACGTCAGAATAGCCGTATCAGCCCTGCAGGGCTGATATGGATTTGCTGGGCTGATAACCTATATCAGCTCTGCAAACCCATATCAGCCCTGCAGGGCTGACACGGCTATTGTGACGTCAACATCACACCCTTAGTAAATTAAACCACAAAAACAGTACTTGTGATCATACACAATTTTTGGTGGGTTCATATTCTCTTAATTTTAACTTTTTGAAAATAAGGTTAATCTTAATTTACAAATACATGTAATTGTAATAGATTATATTCAAATTACGGATCGAGTGCATTGAAATAGAAAAAAACCCAAATTGTATGTGAAAATAGTCAATGTATATGTATGTAAGAGGTCCATGCATGGTTATTTTCTTATTTTCTTCTCCACTTAATGTATGCTGTATTTTATTACTAAGTATGTAATAGATATAATAAAACATATCCTTTTCCACATCACATTCTGTATCAGCCCTATACCATTATCAGCCCTCGGGCCTTCGGCCCTCTGGCTGATATTGGTGTCTCTGGCTGATAATGATACAGAAAAGGGTAATATGTATTATTCTCTTTTTATTAACATTAAGTACTGGCTGTTTGTACTTTGAAATTTTAATTTTAGCAACGCCCTATTTTAATCTGAGATTTCAAGAGAATTACTTTTTAAAAATAAATGTGTAATAAAAGTATACCGGAAGAGGATTTCGTTTTATAAGGACTCACGGCAGATGTGACCGGTCAACAGAAGGAGATAACACCTCCACGTGATCCCAGCTCTTTAATTTTTGAATATCGTTTAGACATTATTCTCAGATTCGTATTATTCTTTAAGCCTATCATTGCTCTTTATTTACTTTTGTTTTCATTTTAAGATTACAAACTTGTTCAATATTACATTTCGTTAATTAAATGACATCTATACACACCTGTCTGTGGTGGACAACCGACTTCTCTGTCACAAATGTCTTCCTCACAAGAACATATCTCTTGACATAACATTCCATAGTATCCAGACGGACAAAGTCCACTACAGTTCGAACCAAAAGTACCAAAGGGACACTCTAGATGTATCAATGTAAAGTTTTATTCTCACTTTTATTCATAGATACATGTATCTTATATATACTAGTATTAGGACTGTCCAATAAATTGTATTGCAAAACACAAACTTACGTATGCAATGACCATTTTTGTTCTTGTAATAGTTGAAGCAGCATGCTCCAGATTCACTGGATCGTTTGAAAAATGATTTAGAAATTGTGCAAACAAATAACATTATTACACATCAGAAAAATGATTTCAAAGAATGTTTAAAATATCTTGTATAAATATAATCATACTTATCTATTTTACATGATTCCACACTGCTTTGAAGAAAAATAGATTTTACAAAAAGCGTAAATAAAATCATCTTGGTTAGCTTAGATTGAACTATATGTGGAAATAATTTAATTTCACAATTATAAATTTTAAACAAACAGAATAATAAATGCTCTTCAAAGTTCCATTTTTGAAATTTGTAACATAACCATCGGCGGCAGATTTTAGTTCCTGTTTTTCAAAATGAGGAAAATCAGTTAGAATTTCCCATAACAGAATTGCAGGTTGTTAATTTTTAAGTGTATTTACATTAATTGATCAAATCTTCAAAAACCCGATTTGTAGCAACAAAAAAAGTTTATTTTCGATCAATTTTAGAACAAGGCAAGCTACCGACAAACACACAACCCAGTTTTCATAACTTTAACTTTAATTGTATTTTTCGATACGTTTTCTTTTATATTCAGCCGATCGTTAAGATTTTTCTGCTGTCGCTTAATCGAAGATTCGAGGGTATATATTTTCCGCCCTGTCTGTCCGTCTATCTCTCATTTTGTCTGTCTGAAAAAACTTTAACCTTTGGAGGTGGTGGGGCTATTGCTTTCATTTTCACATTTTTCTCCCTGTGACAAGTCCCATTTTCTGAGAGATTTCATACCCATGACCTGTCTATTGCGTTTAAAACTTCTTTCGACTATGGATTTTTCCAACATTCTGAATACAAAAAGTGGGTCTGTGATCGGTCAAGAAAAAAGATACTTACTCTACATAGTCAGGTGATCTTACCAACATTTGTTTCCATTGCTTGACTTGTACTCGAATTTGTTTTCTTTGAAATCTGAATTAAATTTGCAAACTTATTTTTATTAACTTTAATGTTTATGTGATATTGTTTTAAGAAATTATCTCAATATAGCATCTCAAATTTGATTTTTATATTGGTTTTTCAGGAAATTTTATATTTAAAGTGGAAATCAGGAACATTAAGGATAGTGAACAAAAAAGGTTATTAAATTCTCATGTTTTTTACGACAATTTAGCCATTGAATAACTAGGAAATTCAAGCCATGATTAAAAGTTGTCAATTGAAATGCAAATGGGAAGCAGACAGAAACACTTTGTTATGAGTAAATTTATACAAATACTTAAACAACTTCCTTTCGCAGTAGGAAGTAAAAAATAATATTTCCAAGAACGCCAATTCCGTAAACAGCCTAGCAAGAGCAAGTGACAGACACACAGAACCGTCAAAGACACACCTCCATTACCTGATACAGACATCGTGTTTTATGGGACTATTATTAATAGTAAAATTTGAGTCATGGGGTGGGGCAATGGCAAATAACATGGAATGTCTCGTGCATTTCAAATCTACTAAATTAGACGGTATTTTCATTTATTTCAAGATTGTTATTTCAAGTAAAAATGGATATATAAGGAACATCAACAATAGTGGGAAACATGGGATAATTTGCATAACGGGCAAAGCCTTATACATTTTATGAGCTAAGTTGTAGGGGTGTAAATTTGCGAATAGCTTGGATGACAAAAATGAAATACATGTACGAGGGTCATTAAAAAAGTTCGTAGACTTTTTAATAACTTTTTTAATCAACGTCATATTACAACAAAACTTGGTGTACATATTTTAACAACAGATTCAAATATTTTGAGTAAAAAAAATATAGTATATTTTGATATTTATCACAATTGTTGAAGATTTATGAAGATTTATGACAGCAAAAATAGGGTCACGGAGCAGGGTCAAAATTGAGTTATTTACTAATTATACTCTTTAAATGTTTATAACCATTAATCTTATAAATGGCACTTTAAGGAAATAAAATTTGAATACTTAAACTTAGTTTTGTTTTATTACTTCATAAGCTAAAAGGTAATGGAATACATTGCTTAATTTAAAAGATATCAATTTCTAAAGACAGATAGACTTGATTAAAATCAACAAAAAACCTTGACGTCGAAGGACGTCAAGGAGCAGCAAGAAGCATTAAAAAAGCATTAAAAATGTGTTTTGCGTTCGGGAAACCTTTGAAACAAACTCTGAAAAATGCGGAAGGAACCATGTAATATACATAATATGAGCTCTGCATTTGTTTTAATGGAAAATACAATTGTTGAGTAAAGGAAACTTTGATTTGGGCGATGGACGGTCTGTACAGAAACGGTTTATAGTTCAAAATTTTGCTAAAAAAGTTAGTAACGTCATGAAACGTGATCTGTGTTTAACTGTTAAATAAATTTAAGTTTACTTAAAATTTTTTATTGTAATCAATAAGTGTCCTCCTTGAATGTGAAAGTCTGAAATACTTTATAGCTGTGCTTTGTAATGTTAATTTTGTTCCATGTCTTACCGTGGTAGGAGAGGCAGAGATTGACCAATCAAAATCTGACCAATTAAAATCTAACAAATGAAATTCTGACCATGGGGTGCGTTACTCTGCCTTTTCTCCCATCTACATCCTTGGAGGACGGACGTTGTTTCAAAGTTTGTTATTTATTTAATCAAGATTTTGGTGAGTAAATTTATTTCATTATGTCTTCTATGAGTAAAACTTCAGTTGTCATTCTTGGACACTCAATTGTGCGTCGTTTTCATGAATTCTTGAAAGATGGTGACATTAGATATTCTGCGAGCCTTGGTCTGGGAGAAACGCATTCCGTTCTGTACAGGGGTGTGGGTGGAAGAAAGGTTCGTGATGTAATATCTAAGGATATGGAGAGCGTATTTGCTTTAGGTCCAGATGTAGTTGTTCTAATGATTGGGGAGAACGATATTAGTCCTAGTACCGACGCTACCTTGTTAGCTGCAGAAATTGAATCTGTGGTATCGGTAATGCATCGCCGCTATAAAGTTGCAAAAATAATTGTTTGTAAATTATTGCCACGATTTGGTATTCGTTTTGGGTACAATAATATTGCAGACAAAGTAAACGCAATATTGAGAGATGCATTTGCCAGCACTGGTTTACTGCGTATTTTGGGAACATGGGAATTATTTCGTTTCTCCCCGTGAAGGAGACTGCAGTCGTAAATTTGTTCACGACGGAGTTCATCTGAACAGTCAGGGGAATGTTCATTTATATAGGAGTATAAGGGGAGCTTTGATTTCAGCGAGAAAATAGATATACATCTAAGTCATAAAAGTTTGTCACCATTTTGTTACTTTTATTGTTCGTCAATTTTTCAGATAGATATTCTTTGAAATTATACAACATTTTGTTATTTTAACAGTACGATAGGCATTTAGGATGTCTAATAATGTAAAACGGATTTATCCTTTTTCTGTGAAGAAAATTCGGTTGGAAAAAGTATCAGCAAATTGATTGTTTCGTTGTTGGTTTAATTTTTACAGTACTTTAGGCAGATACTAAGTACAAGTTTCAGGCAGTTTTTTGGTACTTGCCAAGTTTCAACCCATTTGGGTTTTTTCATTTTGGTTTCGGCTTTTACCATGCAGATGGCGATTTTTTCCATCGTTTTTCTATTTGATATCTAGGAATGTATTTTAAAGCATTCCAGATTTATCCTTTTTCTGTGAAGTAAATTCGTTGGAAGAATGTCTGCCAATTAGTTTGTTTCGGTATTAGTTGATTACTAAAATATTGTGAATTTTTACAGTACTTTAGGCAAGTCCTTAGTACAAGTTTCAGGCAGTCTTTTGTACTTGCCAAGTTTAAACCCGTTCGGGTTTTTTCATTTTAGTTTCAGCTTTTACCATGCATATGGCGATTTTTTCCATCGGTTTCTATTTGATGTCTATGAATGTATTTCAATGCATTCCAGATCGACTTATCCTTTTTCTGTGAAGGAAAATCGTTGGAAATTGTCTGCCAATTCGTTTGTTTCGGTATAAGTTGATTACTAAAATATTGTGAAATTCTACAGTACTTTAGGCAAGTCCTAAGTACAAGTTTCAGGCAGTCTTTTGTACTTGCCATGTTTGTACCCATGCGGGTCTTTTCATTTTAGTTTCAACTTTTACCCCGGCGATTTATTTTCCATCGCTTGTTTATTTGATAAGTCTAGAAGTGCATGTTGATGCCTTCCAGATTTATCCTTTTTCTGTATAAAAAGAAAACAATTTGTTGGAAAAATATCTGCCAATTTGTTTGTTTCGGTATTAGTTGATTACTAAAATATTGTGAATTTTTACAGTACTTTAGGCAAGTCCTAGGTACAAGTTTCAGGCAGTCTTTTGTACTTGACATTTAGCCGTTTTGGTTTTTAATTCATGTTAGGCCCACTTTTACCTTAATTGATGATTTTTATATCGATTTCACATCAAGTTGATTTACCTAATCATGTTCGATTCAATGGTCCAGATTATGGAGGAATTAAAATTAAAAAAAAAAAAAAATCATTTTTGAAGGTACAAGTTTACTGTTTGTATTTGCTATCCCCTTTATATGATATTGAGTCTTGTACAAATAGTTGTTTTTCATTATTCATTTATTAAGGTTTTATTGTTCTGCAACTGCGCTTAGATACATTACAAGCCCTTCAAGTACCTCGTTTGTAGTAGTGATGAAAACAATTAACAACAGCCGAACAGGTTGTTATCTGTGGGAAAGGCACTACAGCCTTCTTGGGAATTTGACACGGTGCGAGGGTTGTCGGCTTCAAAGGTGGTGATTTATAACTTATGTCAACTTTTCGTTTCATGTGGCGGATAGTTCTTACTGATCAGCATCGGCTTAGTGATGTTGACTAATGGCTTTTGCAGTCGCACAATGGGTGCTTTTATTGGCTTACAGCAATTCGGGAAATACAGATCTGTTCCAAAACACTTTTGGTTCTACTATTTACTCTATTTCCGGAAAATTTTTGTCAACAACTGTAGGTGATACAGGGTGTTTTATCGAGAAGCGGCAGAATCAATGAAGTGAAAAATTAATTGTAAGAAAAGGTTCATCACTTTCTAGTTTGTTGTATTAGATTTACACATTGTACTGAGCGATGAAAGTGGTTATATAATGTAATGTTGAATATCAATATGCTCAAATACGTTGTCATGTAGGCTAACTGACTCTTACAGTTGGGGTCTACACTGGCTACAGTGAGGTCTTACAATTCTTGTTCATTGTCAATTAAGGCCGAAGCCTTTTACAGTTTATATTTATACATAACATAATATATTGGATACATACTTCTTCCTTAATTTTAAATTTATATAGGTATATATTTACCAGCATTATGCCAGGCAAAAGGAATAAAGCCCAACAGTCCAGAACAAGTCAGGTGAAAAGACCACGTCGTGCACAGAACGGAACTGGAGAGTCCACTACCAATGATGCTGTGGCTGTCGATACAAGCACTCAACCCCTTGATGTTCCTCCTGAAACCTTGGCTGCATTAACCCAAAACATTACAAAGGCAGTCACGGAGCAGGTGTTAGCAGAGATAAAACCATTACTGCAACATCAGGGGAGTGTCTCTGTTCATAATATGGGGGGAGAAAGGGGAAATAATGCTTCCACTACATCAAGCAATAGCTTAACAGCAGGTCCTTCTGGGTCAGTTTGTCAAATAACAAATAAGTCAGTGGATGCAAGTATCTCAGGATTGGTATCAGGCGCTGTAATCGAACACAGTTCACAGATTGTAGGTACTGAACTTCCACCTGCAGCAAATGTGGGTAAGAAATCAGGTTTTGTAAGCTCATCAGTACCGATAGAGGCAACTGTTTCTGACAAAATAAAATCTAAAATTTGGTCAAAACAATATGTTGATATGGCTCTGTTGTTAAAAAAGGAAAAGGGGAAAAGTAAGTATTCTATCAAGGTAGAGGAACAGGATCAGACAGGTAAGGTGGTAATCCACAATATGCGATCCACAGATGACGACGAAGTTAGGGACGGTTCGTTATCCCTGCATGACTGGGTAACTGCGTGGAATAGGTATGTGACAATATATTGCATTAAAGATACACTTGCACAGCCAAAGCTTGCAAAACACATGGAATCAGTAAGGCAAATTGCAGAGGAAAAGGGGGACTGGAGAAAATATGATAAGGAGTTCAGGGAACTCATAGAACAAGGTGAGGTAGAATGGGGTGATGTCCATATGGAGATATATGTTAATGCTCGCCTCAAACAATCAGAAAAGAAGTCAAGCAAAATAACACCAGACCGTTCGTCATTTGGTACGTATGAGGAAGTCCCTCAGGGGTCATGCTTTGCCTATCACAAAGCTGGAAGGTTTTGTAGGCTTGGTTCATCATGCAAATTCCAGCACAGATGTTATAACTGTGGTGGCTTCCATCCAATCTACATATGTAAAAAACCAATTCAACGGCCATTTCGTTTCTTGGACAAATCCAGAACCCAGAAACCATTTCAAGGAAATGGCACATCAACCAACACAGGTAATGCTAAATTCTCAAAGCCAACCTATCCCACAAAAGGGCCCAACTCCAGTAAATCCCAGTAGATTAGAGTACTGGTTGGTGGGGTATGACAAGGAAGAAACAGAATTTTTAGTTAATGGTTTTCGATATGGGTTCCACATTGGTTACACAGGGGAAAGTAGAAATACTCTTTCAAAAAATTTAAAATGGGCACTGGACTTACCAGAAGTTATTAGCAAAAAGTTAGAAAAGGAGATAAATTTGGGTAGAATTATGGGTCCTTTCAAAGAGAAACCACTGCCAATTTTAAATTGTTCCCCTTTAGGTCTAGTTAGTAAGAAAACAGAGGGTGAGTACCGTATGATCCATCATTTGTCATATCCGGAAGGTGAGTCTGTCAATGATGGCATACCCGAGGAAGAGTCATTTGTTCAATACTCTTCTGTAGAGGATGCTATTCAAAACATTAAGCAGTGTGGGAAAGCATCATATTGTTGCAAAACAGATATTTCTAATGCATTTCGAATTATCAACTTACATGCATCACAGTTTGAATACTTTGGTTTCACTTGGCAAGGTCATTGGTATTTTGACACATGTCTTCAGATGGGTTGCAGTTCTTCCTGTTGTATATTTGAAAGGTTCAGTACAGCACTTCAGTGGATTGCACAAGAAAAATTAGGAATTAAATTTATGACTCATGTATTAGATGATTTTCTAATTGTTGACAAATCTGCGACAGAGTGCCACAAAAAACTTGTGGCATTTTTAACATTTTGCGCCGACATAGGTGTACCTATGGCTAAGGATAAGACATTTGGTCCTAACAAGGTAATGACTATTCTGGGATATGAATTAGACACCGAGATGATGGAGGCAAGGTTACCTATTGATAAAGTTAAAAAATGTAGAGATACAATTGAACAGCTTTTACCAAGCAGAAAGATTACTTTGAAGGACATGCAGTCAGTGATTGGTCTTCTTAATTTTGCGTGTAATGTAGTCTTGCCAGGTAGAGCGTTCTTAAGGCGACTTATCAACACTACTATTGGCATTACAAAAGCATATTATCGCATTAGACTAAACAAAGAAGTAAAAGCAGATTTATGTACTTGGTTAGCCTTCTTGGAAAAATTTAATGGTAGGTCGGTTTTCTTACCAGATAGGTGGGTTGATTCCAATGAATTAAAACTGTATACAGACGCTTCAGGATCTATAGGATACGGGGCAGTGTTAGGTGGGCACTGGTTCTATGGGACTTGGAATGATAATTGGAAAAAATGTAATATTACTCTCTTGGAATTTTACCCAATAGTGTTAGCTCTTAAAGTTTGGAGTCATATTTTTAAAAACAAATGCATTTACTTTTACACAGACAATTATGCCCTTGTGCATATCATTAACAAGCAATCGTCTAAGGATAAAAGTATAATGTATTTGGTTAGAGAGTTAGTGCTAATTTGTTTGCAGTCTAACATTTTGTTTAAAGCTAGGCATCTGGGTACCAAGGAAAATATTCTATGTGGTTGCTTGTCTCGTTTGAAGGTGCAGCAGTTCCATCAACTTGCTCCTTGGATGGACAAAGAACCAACGGTGATTCCCAATCTGCCAACATTACCTCCTTAGAACCAGTCTTGAGGAACCTGTTGACTTCAACATTGGCACCAGCTTCCACTCAGGCATATAAACGGGCATGGTCTATTTATAGAAATTTTGCAAACAAATTTGATATGAGTAATGATCTTCCGTTGTCTCAGGAAACTTTGGCTTTGTTTATCTCTTATTTATTTGCTGAAGGTTATGCAGCTTCCTCTATCGTGTCATTTATTTCATCAATAGCATATATACATAAAATTAATAATTTGCCTGACAATACATCATGCTTTCTCATTCAGAAACTATTAAGTTCCTGTCGCAAATCAAGACCTTCAATGGATATTCGTTTACCAATAACCATAGTAGTTCTGCATAAAATTTGTGATGCTTTAGAACATACAATATCGAACATATATAAAAGGGCATTATTTCAAACAATGTTTTTATTGGCTTTTCACGGCTTCCTCAGAATAGGAGAGATAACATCAGTTGGCACTGCTAATAAGGTTTTACAAGTTTCACAGATTACTTTTCAAAAAAGTAAAGTTTTGATTCACTTTCAAAATTATAAACATTCTGATGGTAAAGTTTTTACTCTTACAATTAATTCTTGCAACTCTTTAAAATATTGTCCAGTGGGGGCATTAGAACACTACATTAAGATGAGAGGGAGGACCGATGGGCCCCTTTTTTGCTACCCCCAAAACACTGCAGTCACAAGGCAAGAATTTTCAAACATATTAAAGCAAAGCCTCATGTTTTGTAATTTGGATGTCAATAGATTCAAAGGACATTCCTTTCGAATCGGAATGGCCTCTTACTGTGCATCACGAGGGATGAGCGATAGTCAGATTAGATTCCTGGGTAGATGGAAATCGGATGCATTTAAATATTACATAAGACATGTGACACCATGTTGATATATGCTTGAGTGGAAGTGGATCCTCGGAGCAGATTTGTTTTGTTATTTGTGTAGGATCTCGACTTTGAAGTGATTTTCAAGAGTATTAACGTATGGGGGCATATGTTTATCCCTTATCCAGAACAATAGTGCCTAAGTCATTTGTTAATACTTAGGCTGGTAGGTGACAAGATCGCGTGCATATAAACATTTAAAATGGTGCGGTGGTTACAGTGTGAAATATTTTCCAATATGGGGGCATACGTCTATCCCTCATCTAAAACATTGCTCGAGACAGTCCTTAAATGAATACCACATATATGTGAACTTAGTAAAAAACAGCGAATAAGATGATGATTTGCGACTATAAGGGCATATGTTTATCCCTTATCAGACATTCTACATAGTGATTCGTTAATACTTGGGACCCACAGACATAATACACTAGGAAGAGTAAACTCATTTGGTTGTGATGGGGGCATATGTCTATCCCTCATAAGACAATTGTGAATTCAAATTGTTGTTTTAATGCATTACGGGACATATGTTTATTCCCATGTTTGTAAATTTTACTCACTTTTGGTATGATTTATGTTTGAGGTGTGTTGCCATTTATTTTTCCTTTATGGGTCTGAACTTTCCCTAATTAGGTCAAGTCAGTGGCGTTTTCAGACCCATTTTCATGATTTTTCTGTTAAATCTAAGTGGTAATTACTGTAAATTTGGATTATCTCCCTTTACAAAATTGGTTTTATTTCTCATCTTGATATCTTGTGTCTGCTAAAAAATATATGTCATTATTAATAATACTTTTGAGAATTTCAAACAAATTATTAAACGTCACAAAGGTGGCAACACACGACAAACTGTTTTACAGACTTTTTACTCATTGAAGGAGGATAAGACAAGGTGTTCTAGCTTTGAAAGGATTATGGAAAGAAATTAACCAGTTGATGGGTAACCGGGGTATCAAAATACTTATTGCATTAAAATAAATAAATTTAAGTTTACTTAAAAATTTTTATTGTAATCAATAAGTGTCCTCCTTGAATGTGAAAGTCTGAAATACTGTATAGCTGTGCTTTGTAATGTTAATTTTGTTCCATGTCTTACCGTGGTAGGAGAGGCAGAGATTGACCAATCAAAATCTGACCAGTTAAAATCTAACAAATGAAATTCTGACCATGCGGTGCGTTACTCTGCCTTTTTCTCCCATCTACATCCTTGGAGGACGGACGTTGTTTCAAAGTTTGTTATTTACCTCCTGCCGCCCCGCCTCCGCCATTTCTTTGTTGTTTAAATTTATGTTTTAGCGTTTTCAGACCCATTTTCATGATTTTTCTGTTAAATCTAAGTGGTAATAACTGTAAATTTGGATTATCTCCCTTTACAAAATTGGTTTTATTTCTCATCTTGATATCTTGTGTCTGCTAAAAATTATATGTCATTATTAATAATACTTTTGAGAATTTCAAACAAATTTTTAAACGTCACAAAGGTGGCAACACACGACAAACTGTTTTACAGACTTTTTACTCATTGAAGGAGGATAAGACAAGGTGTTCTAGCTTTGAAAGGATTATGGAAAGAAATTAACCAGTTGATGGGTAACCGGGGTATCAAAATACTTATTGCATTAAAATAAATGTGCTTACTTTTAAAAGCAGAGTAACACGGGTAAAGAATGTGAAAACAATGACAATCTAACTAAACGTAGTCAAATAATTAACAGCAAATTTGGTGTCGAGTGTAATGGATACGTTTTAATTAATGGGGAAGACGCTTCAAGCCGTGTATAAATGGTATAAAAATAGCGTAAGTTTGAAAAACTTTCTCTATGTGGTTTTTGACGTTACAATGATAATAACCGTGCTCCGTGGCGATAAAACATGTTGCTTTTTATACTTGCTGACATGAGCTCCATTTAATGAAATGGAATGAAACTTTGCATATCGATTAAATATGTGTTTTTTCACATGAAAATGTGTTGGTTTTAAATTTTGTAAAACGTATTTAACTAGTGCTAATTGTAACGGGGACCGTTACAGATGTTCCCCAAACGCTCCCCAACTCCCTTTTGGTGCCATATTCCCTGTAAGCTTCATTAAATAAGACAAACTCTATGCATTTGAGACTTTAACAACGTTTACCCAGAAGTGTACCAAGTTCATTCAAATTTTGCGTGCGCATGTGTATGCATGTGCGTAATGACCATATCATCTTGTCTACACAATCTATATATTTTTATATACTAAATATTAAAGCATTTAATCCAAAAGTATTAAAAAGATACGCTCATTCAAGTGTTTTTTTTTTATTTTGCTCATTTCACGTGCACGCACGTGCATACATGAGCATGGTGACCATATCTTCTTGTAGATGTCCGTTACATCTATCTATGTTCTACATCCGACCCCGTTTGGTTGAAATCCAAGGGAGTTATAGCTGTTTAAAGTTTCAGCCAATCAAATTGCAGCGCACGTACATGCACGTGTATGCATGTGCATGGTGACCATATTTTCTTGTAGTAGTCCAATATATCTATCTATGTTCCAAATCCCATCCTGTTTGGTTGAAAATCAAGGGAGTTATAGCTATTTA